TTTTCCTAAAAGAAATTTATTCATAAATTGATTGACCAACTATGTTTTCAGATTTTGTAGTTGTTGAACCTTGTAAGGCTGAACACAGAATCTCCGACTGATCAAGATGGTGAGTTTCGATTCTCCATACAGTAATGAGCCATATGTGTTTCAGGGTAAAAAGAGTTTCTTCAATAAGAAGAACACCGTTAGCTACAATTTAGTCCCAAGTTCTTCGGCTCCAGAGGTGATCTTTCGATTCTCATGATTCTCTTACATTCAATACCCGGTTAAGGAACCGAAACAAGTTTCTTTCAAAGTAACTGGTGATCAGTTAGAGGAACAACACAAGTATGGAATCTTCTTCGATGACGACTATGATTACATGAAACACTTGCGGAGTCGTGATGAGGTTCCCTTTCCTCCTTGTAACTCTTTGAACCTTCTCTCTATAGACATATAGCATGAAAATCGAGTCGAAGGAAGATGTGAAAACCGATGTTATCAAGTAAGTTCATGCCTATGTTCCCTCATCTGTTTGCTTGCAGAGTTCCATCCATGCCTATGGAGAATTTCTCCTTCAGGGCAGAACGTTCATTGCATGAAACACAGAAAGGTGTTCGCGATGATGATGTTGATCGTCTTTTAGAGGTCTGTGTCGTTCTCATCTTCTTCTTCATGCAATCTGTTGTTCAGGGCAATTTCAAAGGAAACCAAGATTTGGAAGATGACTTCATAACATTAGCCGGAGGTGTAGCTGGGGTTCTAAACCCACTCTCTTCCTTCAGACCTCGTACAAGTGATGATGAGGTTGTTTCAAGCAGCTCGATAAGAGGTTCACATTAACTGTTTAGGAATCGGAAGAAGACGATTACGACGCTTTCGATGACGAGTTAGATGAAGATGAGCAGGAAGAAGAAGAAGATATGGAGGTTAGTGCTTGATGTAATCCAGTTTGTACTTTTTCTTTTCTGAAGACTCGTACTGGCCCTCAAAGGGATATCGATGATGCCTTCGATAGAATGTTAGAAGCTGACTATCATGAAGATCAAGTAAGTCTCATTCTCTCTACTTTCGTTACTATGCGGAGTTCAGTTGGGAGAGTTGGATGGAGATGATGAATTGGTCGCAGGAATGTTGGAGCCTGACAGTGGCCGACTTCGAAGACTTGCCAAGGAGAAAATCGAGGATCCTGATTACGATGAGCAGGTATGACGAAACCATTTGAATCTCTCCCACCTGACAATGTCTATTCTAGTTGGCGAAAGATTATGTGAAGAAGAGATTTGCTCTCATCGAAGCCGGGGTTATCAAAGAAGATTCGGAAATGGTGGAAGTGGAAGAGAGTCCATCTAAGAAACTAAAATGGGACTGTGAATCTTTCGCTTCCCAATATTCCAATCTTTACAATCATCCCACAGTTATCAAAGGTTGTCCGTTCTCAGCTTCACGTTCTAACCTCAGGTAGTTCAGATCCTAATCAAGTCCTATCAAGAAAAGCTTTGAAACGTTTCAATCGTGCCAACGAAAAGAAAGAAGCCGAGCTAGAGGAAGAGGATGAAGAGATGGATATGGATGATGATGACAACCTCAGTCAATGTACCAGCGTTTCAACAATAAGGTTCAGTTTTCATGACTCTTCTTATGTTCATTGTGTTGCTTGAAGACCAAAAGGAGAAACTCCAGAAGAAAGGAATCTACGGAAGAAGGCAGTTAAGGCTGCACGTCGTGCGCGTATAGTCGAGAGAAAGCAGAACCAGGCAGCCTTCGCAGATGCTCATAGAAAGGTAACTTACATCGTTAGGAGATTCCTACTCCACGTCTCTTTCAGATGGCTCAGTCTCGATTCGGACAAGTCAAGTTCCGACCAGTGGCATAGGTATGATCACATTGAGTCGGAAAGCTTCCATTGTATAGTGATATAACTGTTTTCCCGTCGTTGTTGTTTAAACTTTTGTTATTTGTTATCAATGAGAT